GGTCATTTGATTCTGGTGCTTGGTTCTTATGTTACCAAAGGATGCTACTGGGCAGCCTGCGGGCTGCCCCTTTTGTGTGCTGTTTAAAAGGGGAGGGCGCTAGCCAGCATCTCCTTTCTAAGCTATCCCTCTTCCCTTCAAGGTGAAGGTGAAACATGGAGTCTTCTTGAAAAGACGTTTCAAAAATAAGCAGCGTGGCTTTGAATACCGAGTTTTATAACTTATAGGTTTTTTTTCTTAATGAAAGTAGTCAATCCAGTCCAGCTAGCTGAACAAATATGTAAAGGCAGAGCACAGCTAGCAATTTCACCTGCTAAAACTTTATCATTTCATTTATGCTACTGTGGTAGCTATTTCTTGCATACATGCTGATTGCTGTGAGAAAAAGAAGAGAATGCTTATTCCTGTTCTGAACACTAGGGTGGAGTAATGCCTTTAAAGGTGAAATTTCTTCTTGGGTAAAAGTAGAACTTAAGTAGTAAGTTTATTAGAGTGGTGGTGCACAAAGCAGCAGTATAGAAGTGGTTGTTTAACATGTTGTATGTTCCATTTTATTATGGTAAAGTTAATGTTTGTCTAGAAATATATTTTATTTTCCCTGTTTCTCCTACCTTGTCTTGTTCTAGGTAGTCAAGCCACATATTCCATTAATTAAGTTCCCAGACAGAAAAAGTAGTCCCAGACCTAAAAGTAAGTATTTCATCTATAGATGCAACTTGTGCCGCGTTTCTTTGCATTAACTGTTTTATATAAGAACCAGCACACAATTTTTCTGCTTTGACTGTGCAACTCAACTGATTTTGAGCGGGGTTTCTGAACCATGGTTGTTTTAGTTTGAGGACAGCTCTTTGACTCTTCCTTTTCAGACTCTATACAACTATGGGAATATACATAATACGTGTATGTCTATTTCTTGGTCAAGGCAGATTCACAAGTTGTTTTCAAACAACAGTGTTGTTTTCCTACTTATATACAAGGTCCCATTTTTGCAAATACTAATTTTGAAGTGGGCCTGAAGTGATAGTGCCCAAGTCAGTTTATAGTAGCTGTAGGTATTCGGTGATATTTGCAGAAATTATGTTGCATTTTCCTCATCCTTTCTTTTCTTATTGGAGTGTGTGGTGTCTGTGGTATTTAAAACCCTAATTATAGCTGAGAGCCATCCTACTGTACATTTTAAGAAGTGTTTCCTTGTGCTATTAATTAATGCTGAGAAAAAAATAACTTCATTGCAATCTTTGACATTAATTTTTATACCTATAGCTATGTTTATATTTATAGGAACCCTAATACTGTTACATTTAGGCATCAAAGTTAATGAGCTGTATGTTGTTTTAATATTCTTTTTGAGTTGATAAAGCATTTGAAACTAAAGTAGGTAGATGTTTCAAGAAGCTCTGTTGTTATTCTCATTTGTTTAGAAATTATAATGTACCACACATTTGCCACAGCATTATCACATTTGGGATTTAGCTTTAAGTTTAGTTTATCCATTAACATTGCAAAGTATCTACAGTGCACATCAGTGTCACTTCTGACTTACTTGTGAATTCTTCAGGAACTATTTTCTGTGATAACTTTCAGTCAGAGTTTTGTATCCTGTGCCCAGCTCAGCCAATTGCACCACCTCTCATATGCCAGTGAATTGCTTTCTTAAAGGCTTAAAAACATGTTACTTGGCTCATGTTTGTCTTTGCATCAAAAGATTTTTCTGACTATATATTTTAAGTATGTTAGACTTTTCTACCTTAATTGATTTCTGTTGCCTCACTAGTAAATTGCAATCTACCTCACTTTGCTTGAATGCTGTAGCAATAACTGTGTTTCACCATACCAGACTGTTGCTTCTACATAGCTAAACAGACCTCTGCAGATCAAGACTATACTTTTAGGGATGTGAGTGCTTGAAAGGCCAGCCAAATCCTATTATTATATTACTACTGCAACATGATGGTCTCAAACAGGGAAGGGAAAAACTGTAGTAGGGACTGTATCTGAGCTTAAGCAACAGAAGTATTAGGTTGGGTATTTTTGAGTCTTGACTTCAGGTTTTTAATTGGCTAATGCTTCTATTCCAATTACACTTCAGACTTTAAAACATACAATAGAGGAAAATCTTAGGCAAATCTCTTAACATTTATGTGGTATATAAAACAAATTTGGAGAAAATGTTTCTTTTTTTGTCATATATAAGGTGTGTTACTTTTTGAAACAAAAATACTTTGTAGTCAACTATTATCATCTGTGTGTTGTTTTCTTTTGTTTTCATCTTTTGTTCCCTTTGCCTCCTGCTCTTAAATTTTAAAATTTCAGCTTAATGGCATGCCCCCTGTTCAGATTGTACTCCTGATGGGTTCTCTTCCTCCTCACTCTGTTTGGGACCTTCCTTTGTTGATGCCATTTTGTAATGTTAAAAAGTACAGCTTCCCAGTAAAAAAGCCTTTGTTAGGATATATGCTGATTTATCTTCTTTTTCCACATCAGTATTTCTGCCACTCAAATATGCTTTCTTTTAAGTATTTGTATAATGAAGAAAATTGTCAATAACTGGTAACTTTTATTGGCTGCTCACTAATTAATTTTACAGCCTTGTTATATTTCTGTAATGGTTTTGCAATCTGGGTTCCAGTACAGGAATCTCTACAAGCAAGTATGCCGTCTCTTAATGCTTCAAAAGCACAGGAGTATGTAGGAGGCAGACCACCAGCATTTCAAAATATTTCACCTGTTAGTAGAGTACAAGGTATACCAGACACTTCTGAATTAGCAAGAACCTTACCTCAGAAATACAGAAGGAAACTTATGTCAGATGAAGAGATTGAATATATTCAAGTGAGTTTCATTTATTGGTGTGTTTTGTCTGTATTTACCTAGCATTTATCTTCTTCAAAGTGTTTTAACCTTCTTAAAAGTTTAAAATATGGTATTACATTGTAATTCTTGGTAAGTCCATACTTGGAGTTTTCACAGCTTTGATGCACAGTACCCAAACTACACAATCTTGAATATATGAGGTATCCAACTCTCACTAATTAGTAGCTTGTGGTATCACTGATTAGAGAGATACAGACTTAAAACAGACATGCAGATAGCTAGCGATAGTCATAGCCTACATTAATCATGTATGGCATTGTGCATGAAAGGCAAGAAAAACCTGCTTTTGTTCTGTAACAATTTTCAGTTGTAAACACTGATGCTTAAAAAGGGAGAATGCATAAAATTTGAAGAACTGGAGAGATGGATGAGTTTAAAATGAAAAGACACTCATGTAGCTTTGTTAAATAATAAGGACACCTACAGTGTGATCATGTTAATAGAGGAAATTAGTTTTCTTGTATGTATATCAGTAGGGTATTATAATTAGAAATAAAATTATTTATTCTTGACCTCTAGCATAAATTTTCTAATGGTGGGGTAAGTTGTAAAATAATTTTGTTGGCAAAATAATGAATTGAGTACCTTTCTGATTTCTCATAAAGATTGTAATGGCTGACCTTGGCTTTGTTTTTACTTTGCACTTTGGAATTTGGGCAGTGAAAATAATTCTAAAGCTTCTGTTTGCTACTACTGTGTTTATCAGATCTTTCTAAAGTGAGTAAGAGTCAGGTTTCTTCAGAGTGGGAGAATTGGAAGCAGCTATAATTATAGGTTGCAGGTGTTGATCTTTTTGTGTTCTCCCCTGAAAAAAATGGAGCTGTTATGGGTAGATGCTGATACTTTGACACTCCCATGCATGTTCTTAGACATTGATTTTTAATCTATATAAATCAGAAATTAAAACTAGAACTCTGTTAATCTGGCATTGTGAAAAAGATTTGATCTCCATTTCCGGTTCTTTTAATGGAATATATTTAACTGTCTGCTTTTATTTTACAGCGTGGAGGTCCAGAATAAGTATGGAAGATTTTGTTTGCCACTGTTGAAGAATGAAGTATTGTATTCACAATAAAGGCATTTCCTTAATATTATGATTGTATACTAATAGCTTTAATAAAGACCCATATGAAGGGTGAGAAGGTTGACACACTATATATTAATTTGTGATTGAGAAAGCCATGAACAGAAAATCTAACTAGCATTTGAGGTGCACTTCATTAAAATATTTTTCTAATTAGCCATTTTAAACTTGCCAATAAAATGGAGTTGTCTTCTTTGTCTATTTAAAAAGATTCAGATGTCTCATCAGGAATGACTTTTATGGGCAGGAAAGGGACACTGAAGTATTCTCAAAGACTATTAAGTGGTTGTTCTTAGTAGTTATACTATCAGATCTGAGGTTGGGGGAAAAAAATAAAAATAGGTTGTTCTGGCATTTAAATTAACTGTTTCAGAAGAGAGCCCTTTGGGTCCAATTATGGTTAGAAGTCCACAATATCCCTGATCTCTAGGCTTAATTTGCATAGTCCTTAATATGCGTAGTCCATAACTACAGCCTTTCATGTGGCAGACGGAAGTGAACCAGGCTGTGCCTGTGCATCTCAGGCTGATCCAGCCAACGGCCTTGGCGTCAGTCATGCTGCTTTCAGCTGTAACCTGTGGTATTGAAGAGTAGCTGAGCGTTCCCCTGCCGGACCGTGCCCCAGCCTCCTCTCCTCCGGCACTGGAGATAACTGCGCCGATTGCTTCATCAGCCCTCTTCCCCTTCGTGCCTCCTACGAGTTAACGGAAGCTGGAAACGGTGCCAGGCGGCTCTCGGGAAGCTGCGTGCGGGGCGGCGAGGCGTGTGGTGCCGCCGGCGGTTGCCAGGGGCGGGGCCTGGGGGTGGGTCTGTGCGTGCGCGCGCGTGCTTCCCCCTTCCCCTTCTCTCTCCACCCCACCCCCCCGATAAAAACACGAACCAAATTGATTGTTGCTATTAAAAAGGTGAGTGTCAGAATATTTTCCCATTGTGTGAACAAGTGTCTGTTTGCTCTTGACCTGCCTAATGTTTTTTTGGACTGACTTAATGGGTAATGGGGGAAGATCTCGTTTCTAGAGGGTTTTGTTTAAATGATCCAGTTAAGTTGTCTTTAATGTTTTTTTTTTTTAATTTCCCTCCAAGAAGACAAACTAGCTCCGGTCTTACTACATTTCAGAGTTTCTGAAGGGTTACCTGGTCTGTAACTTGAAATTTTGGTTATTTGATAAATAGGTGTATACTTAAAACAAAACACTCATTTCCAAAATTCAGGCTTTATTAGTCCTTGCCAGTGGCTTGCTTTTTGAATCTTTCTTCCTGCCATACCTTATTTCCTTCAGTCTGGGAATGTTACTCCTGATGAAGTTTTTCTGAATTGAGGGTAATTTTTTGACAGCAATTGACAAAAGTGGTCTTAGATCTGCAACTTAACTGTTTGAATATAAATGTTAAAAATGTCTGTTTTCATAAAGTGTTTTGATTCATATTATCTGAAGAGATTACAGAAAGTTTTTGTATTAAAAATAGGTGGATTAGTTGTACTTTGTGAGAGATGAAAAATGTATGTTACAGTACTTTGGTTAGTTAAAGGGCCTACTTTGCTAGGTGAATTAATCCATCTAAATAATAAGTAATTTTGTTTGATACAGTAATCCATTTTAGCATTATAATACTGTTCCTGTATGGTTGCTACTAGTAGCAGCTGTTGCGAAAAACATTCTTGTTTGAATTGGAATATTTTCTTAACTTTTATCATCTGGAAATATCAGTGATGAGATTCTAGACTTGAAAATTTCAGGGCAGGAGATGATTGAGATAGAAGGACTTTAAGTCAGCCCAAGTTTACAGAGTATACTAATTTTACTGGAATAATTCTAAGACAACTGTAAATTACTTTGGCCTCATTTCTCCCTGGGGAGAAACTCATTAGTGGTATAATAAAGCTTTGTGGCTACAAGCATTTTATGTTGCCACTTTGCATGATGTCTGTTTTCAGCCATCGTGACTATTTTTTACGCTTTCATAAAAGCTAATGCTGTGGAGACAATTCTCTCTTTTAAAAACAAACAAACAAACAAACAAAACACAAACAAAAAAACCCTCAAAAAAACCCCACCACCTAGCTGGTAAAACACTTCATGGTACTAAAACTCATCCTGTCTTAGAAGAATAACACTAAAGAATTTATCCCCTATTGTTGGGGCAGATGGCTTAACCTTATGTAATATGAAACATTTCTCTTCAGATTAAACTGGGACATAGATCATATGCTAAAGATGGTGAGTTTTAAAACAAATTCATGCTGCAGAAGCTGTGCTTTGTTAGCTTTGCTTTTGTAAATTTGTGCATTAATTTCTCACACCATAACTTGTCTGAGAAAAATTAGCTTAACTCTTAGTGTAAGGCTTAGTAGAGGATTGCTTCCCAAACTGCAGGGACAGAAAAAAGTAGCAGAAATATCTGCATGTGTAGTATATGTCTAAATAACTGGCTAGCTTCTCAATTTAAGTGGAATACAAACACAAATGTAGCATGGATTAATAATCTTCACAGCACTGAGTTTAGAATACCTTTTTGTATTCATGCATCTATGTGCCTTAAATATGTACGGCAGGTGAGAGGGTTTCAGATGTTTCCATTGTTCTATTTTTGTGACTTATGCTGAGACAAAAGTTAATAAAAACAAAATCTTAAAAACTGTCTTTGTGTAGGTTTGTTTTATGTTGAGAAATCACGTCCATAAAGCAGTGTCTTTTTATCATGTGCTCTGACTAGCCATGTGCCTTTAGGCCCACCCAACAGTCATGGTCTTCTCTTACAGCTTGCGTGGTGTAGTAGAATTTTGTATGTGTGTAGGCTGCCATCCTTAAGGCATCCTGCATCAAGTTAGCAACTTTCTGGTGGAGAATCTTTGCGCTCAACTTTCCAATTCAATTCGAAGGGAAGAATTTTTAAAGAGAAACTGAGCACTCATCCTGGAGTCTCCCAGTTTGGGCTGACACAGTTGTGATCCACCTGGCCTTTAGTGGACTAATGTCCTTCAAGGAAAGTCATTCGGTCATTACAGCCTATACAATGTCTAGCTATAGTTCAAAGAAGTTATTAAAAATAGTGATCACATCTGGTTTCACTGTGTTATCAGATAACTGTGTTGTCTGGTAACCTAGCATACTTTTTTCTGAATCTAAGGCTTTGCCCACCCAAAAGCAGACATTGTCAACTTGATTCTAAAATAAGTAATTAAAAGTGGCAAAGCACGAGTATAAAGTAATCTGTGTAGCTTTACCCAAAACTTTGCCAGAACCTTACATGTTGAATCGGAGACCAAGTTTTGGGAGAACACTGTTTATCAGCTGATGTGCAGCTGGAACTCTTGCTGCTCAACATTCCACAGGAGTGTTTGCTTGCTGGTCAGTTTTCATACAAGCCATACATACCAGCATTTTTGAAGGAGGAATTGTTACCTTGCAGGAATTGTGGTTTGATACAGTGTTTATTGTGACTGCCAAAGCGCACCTCCACACACACGCCCCCTGTGGGAGGGTACTTAAGAGACAATGGACATATATTGAACCAGCCATGCGAGGAAACAGACTGGCTGTAGGCCCTCGCCCTTGAAGTCACCTCGAGGAGAGGAAAAACAGGAGCGACAGTGATTGTTTCACACGAGTCGAGAAAACAGGCCTTACCTTGAGAAAAGAAAAACAAAAATCGAGAAAAACAAGTTTGGAGGAGTTGGACGAGCAGGTAGGAAAAACAGATTAGAAGGAACCAATCCGAGTCGCATGCTCGCCTTGTGCACAGGACTATTAACCAATCGACTAATGCATGAACGTGTGTAGGGATAGATAAATTGTATATAAGGGTCAGTAGAATATCAATAAAATGGCTTCTATATGATTCACATTGGATCGTGTGAAGTCCAGTTTCTCTCCTCAGATGGTGACCCCGATGTGATTCGGACCTGCGCACCAAAAAGAAGAAAGAAGAACGGGGAAGAGCCCAGAAGGAGAGGCTGGCTGGAATACGGCCCAGCAGGACTGGAGACCGGGGCGGTCGGAGCACAATCCGCAGAAGAAAAGTACGTCGTGACGGACACCCAGTGAGGTGAGCAGCCGGGGAAGGAGATGGGTCAGAGTGTAACAGCAGAAGAAGATGCGATAGTCAAACTTCTCCTTCATATACTCTCTAAGAGAGGAATTAAACACGATGAGCTTCTGCTCCGGAGACTGTTAATTTGGTGTCGGGAACATGGGTTCTCACCCCAGCCCGAGATTGTTTTTGACCCTGAAACATGGGAGGAGATCGGGAAGTGTTTGTGGGAGGCAGTGAGTAAAGGAGAAAAGGACACTAAAGGGTTAGCTACTCCCTGGAGGTTGATCTTAACGACCCTGCAAGCCATGAAAGCCGAGCGATCAGCAGCGGCAGGGGCGTTTGCGGCTTTAAGACCGCCGCAGGAATTTCCGGCAAGTTTCGGGGCCGGCGTTTCGCCTTTCGATCATCGGTTACCCGTGCCCCTTCCTGTTCTGCCCCCGGAGAAGCAAGAGGTACCTGGGACGGAAGAACCGTAGGCAATGGACACAAGTGAACCCCCACCCAATCTGCCACCACCCCTCATCCCACGGCCCGTGGAGCCTCCTGCCGCCGCCGCCGCCCCTCACG